AAAAAAAAAAAATGGCGTGCTCACGGACAGAAAAAAACACCCACACAACAATACGTTTCACCCAACCGTGTCACATGAACATGGACTAGTAGGGAGGGAATAATGGACTCATCATCATTGCCATGAAATTGCCACATACGCATGCGCTCGAAAGAGGTACAATGCGTGCAAAAACTTACTGACTCTCCCCCTGACCCCATCACTCCCCAGCAGCAAACAAATACACACACACACACACACACACCCACACACAGATACTTTTAAAAAAATATATCCCATTTTGCTTTTGCTTCGCTCATGTATTCTTCTTTTTTTACCTCTACTTTGCTTTTAATTCTCGCTTCAAAGCATGCCAGATAAACGAACCGCATATCTTTCCTATACACTTTCCGCAGAAGATAATGTCCGACTCAAAGTTTATGGATGTGTCTTCTTTCCCTACCACGCAGCCCTGCAATGTAATGATTCCCGTTCCCCGGCTCCTCGTTTCCTCTCGCTTCTCTGAAGCGTCAAGAATGATAAGAAGAATATGACACGTCTCAAGATATTCTTGCACTTGTGTGACGGACGTAACGGGAGGGAGTGTGTCTTTTCGCCAAATCGGGGCTTTCGTGCTTGTTTCTGGCGATAGAATAAGCTCCATATTGGATGCGAAACGCGCGAAAATTTGCAATGCCGGCTTCTTTATGACACTACCAGTATAATCCCTTACAGCAATATCCTCGAATATAAACTCGGGCACAGGCTTCTGAATCTTCATGAAGCACGACACCACCGGCCGTACGCATCGCACGACGAATGTAGCTGATACAGGTCTGTGCTCTGATAAAAGCAAGTCCGAGTCGGACCCGTATCCTGTGCACTTCACCGATGCGTTAGGCATACTCTTATACAAAACACGGTCACAGTAACTGGGAGAACTCTTAAGAACGTATCCAGCAGAGCCAACGTTAAGACGGTACGTCGGTGCAAAGTTGATGGCCGGCTCCGAAAAACCGTAGAGTATACCTTCGTTTTTTCGTTCCTTGCTAAACTGATCGTATACAAGTAGCTCATCGTACTTCTCTGCTTGAATGAGGGACTCTGCTTTTTCAGAATCCACTTCACATCGATAGTTAAAATTTCCGAAGAAGAATACATGATCAAATTGATTCGTTATATCCGCATCAGGAACACCTAGACGAATATTACCCACAATCTCTTCCAAGATAGCGTTACGCATGGCGCAATGCTCATTGCGTGCTGCCAAATGGCAAGTACAGAAACATATGGAGGTCTCCAAGTATTGAATGGAAATACCAATACCACCCTTCTTTCCGCACGCAGATTTATATGCAGTTCCTCGCGTTGAACCCACAACATTTGTTATCTTGAAGAGATTTTTCCTTTTGGTCATGACGATTAACATAGTATCCCAAAGGAACATGCTAGCTAGTGGAAGATAGCCCCCGCCCAGATAGTCTTGAATATAGTCAAGCCACTCATTATCCTGACGGCGGTACGAAGCTTCTTGAACAGCAACAGCGTAGATGTCATACTTGCCTTTGGGCATCCAATGTTTTAAGTCATCTTTAGACTTCGGAGGTCGGTGGCCGGAAAGATCGAAGGTGCCACACCAAATAGACACAGGCTCTGTCATGTATCTTGAAGCATTGATGGTGCATTCACCCATCAACTGTCTCTTCACGGGCTTAGATGCGGTATCTGAGCATATCACAGATATCGCGTTAGCACCTGATCCATCGATGGTTACATGCGATTCGGTTTCATCTGGCCCTACAAGGTCGGGAGCAAAAACACGAATATTTGAACGAATGGCACTTGCTGTCTCGTAGAATCGCTCGCGCTCGTCAGCTGTCACAAACTGCATATCATAAGAATGCGAGGCGTCGAAAAACATCATCCTTAGTCGAGTGGCGTCATAAGTATTCTTTTCTAATTGGATCATTTTATTTGCAGCGTGCTCTTTTCGAATACGATTGTTCTTTGCCAAGTTATAAAAACACTGTGTAAAGTGGTCCACCACCCAAATACGCTTTTGGCTGGTATTAATCAGATTTGTGCTTGGTGTGTACTTCATCAGAGTGAAGAACCCTTTAAGATACTGTGGGTTAGGCACTTCCCGAAGGGGAAGAACAAAACGGTGAGCAGCTGGCATGCCACCATCGACTTCTCCCTGGGTCGCGTTCCACTCAGAAGCATATTCTTCCCCCCAATCGTCGTTGTTCACCACATCTTCCAGAGCCGCTTTAACCTCGTCGTCCAACTCTCCCTCTGCAGCTTCGGCATCTTCTTCACCAATGTCACCTCCATAGTCTTCCTTGGCGAAGGCCTCTTCCAATGCATGTTGGCGTTTTTTTGTCTCTTCCTGAGGTTCATCACGAGGCGCTTCAATGATAACCTCTTCTTCTTTTGGAGGTTCCGCCTCCCATTCCATTTCGACATCGTCTTCATTCGGATTAATTTTCGCAGCTTCTTCTTCTTCTAGAGCATTAAGATATTCTTGTTCTTCTGCATCAGCGGCTTCGTCAAAGGGGACATACTCTTCACCAGCTGCTTCAAGTTCCTCCAGTGCCTCTTGTGCCAAATGAGCAGCTTCCTCTTCTAGCCGATCCATTTCTTCCTTCTGAAGAGCCTCGAGTGCTTCATGCTCTGATCGTAATTTCTCCTCCTCCGTCGCACCAATGTAAAAACCTGTGGTGTGTATTGCCCTCAAGAAATCCTGCTGTGTAACACCTTCAAGTGTGAAGTAATCTCTGCGATCACTAGAGATAGCGTCCTCAATTACCCTGATCTCATCGTCACTGGGGCGTATACCATCGTTGAGCTGGGTGAGGAGATCGCCTAACTCCGACAAATGTATTCTACGAGCTTCTTGCATTCGTTGCAGAAGCCATGCACGTCGGTATTGTCGCTGTTCATCACTTAGTTGATGATCAAGCCACTCCCTCCGTCTTGCCTCCTCCTCAGTGGATACACTTCTATGTACTTTCATCCAGGCTTCACGTGAACTCTGGCCAGAAGATCCAGAAGTCTTCCATTTATTTCCACCAGCAGCGTAGTCTTGAATCATCTCTGACGATTTCCATCCATTGACGTGATACCACCGTTTTCTGCGCCCCAGTTCCGTTTCATCAGCTGGAGACTCCAAGCCCATGCTGAGTAACGCTTCTTTGAAAATGCGTGCTTTCCAAATAGAACCTTCTCCACCCGCCTTAAAGTCGGATACCACAACAGGATTTTGCCACCACTCATTCTCTCCGACACCCTCAAAGTAAGCTATCCGTCCCTTGGCTTCTTCTTCAGAGATCTGCCATTGAGAAGATTCGACCGAGTCGTTTAAAAATATTTCCAAGCTCGCCGCTCGCAACAACCTGCTGTTCAGACTGTTAATCAGGTAATCGTCCCCAACCGAACACTTCCACCAGTTTTTTTCATACCACTCACATCGCAATATGTCTTCATGGAGCCCACACCATGTGCTCTCAGCGTTTGTTTCCGGATCAATTGCAAGTTCCCATAGAAGTGATGGTTTATAGTAAGCCATGCGAACACTGAGCTCTGTTTCAGATACAGGCTTCCCTTTGCCACCAGCTTCACTCGACGTCCAGAGTGTCCCTTTAAGTCCGTTCAGCTCATAATCATTACGCGCTTCGATAGACTTCCAAAAGTTGGCAGTAAAATATACTTCTCGTTCTTTCCTTTCTTCTTTGCTGCAATTTTCACCCATGTTTGTTGGGAATATGTTACCTGCAATGATCCATTTCCTACCCTTCTGTCCGTTTTTGAAAAAATCCGAGATGCACTCTGGGTCTTTCCAGTGCTCCAGGGGTCTTTGAGAGTCGTACAGTCGTTGATATGACTCATTTTTCCACCACATACTCTTTACCGGATTCACACCAGCCATTATTTGTGTATCCGTAATATCCTCTGCAGAGTCTGTTGGTGTCACTGCAATCATGTAATGATTTCGGTATTCTGTGGTGGACGTGGTGGCAATCATATCACTACCATTCTGGGCACCGGATAGTGCCACCTGAGGGAAGCGAGCCTTGACGTACGCGCTATTATTAGCATCAACCATGTAGTGAGCAATGGAGTCGGGAGATTTCCACCAATACAACCCGAATTCCTCCATTCTTTTTTCACACTCAAGGCCAGGAGAGGCATAGTAACACATGCGTATGAGAATCTCATCTTCAGGGGCTCTCCTACCACTCCCATTTGGAGCCTCTTTCGTCCACAGATCTCCTTCAAATCCATTTTGCAAAAAATCTAGACGATATTTAGACGCCTTCCACCAAAACTTGCTCAGAAATGCTTCACGAAGTTGAATATCCTCTGGCTTTGCACGAAAATTCATGGCAGAACCGGTACTTGCAGATGTGGCATCTCCTGCCATCCAAACAGCACCCTCACCCCTGCGCATACCATAGTCCTCAATGCAATCGTGGTGAACCCAAAATAAATCTCCCATAGCGGAAACACGCTTCAACTCCCGACTCAGAAGCGCCTGTGGTACACGATTATCGCGGTATGGATGACTTTTGAAGTAATTTATTCTCTCTTCTTTTTCTTGCTCAGAGGCTCCGTAGTATCTATCTCTACAAAGTCCCATCACAGCCACTGCTGCTGTGGCTGCCCCAATGAGACTGCCCCGAGATCCATTTATCTCGTAGTCCTTCCGCACCTCAGGCGCCTTCCACCAGTTCAGAGATGCATACCTACAATCTGCCCAGTACTTTTCCGACAGGCGCATGTAATAGGAAATGCGCAGAACCTCTTCTGCAGGTTTGATGACATCTCCAGAACCATCAACGTCGGTCCTGTTCCAGAAGTTACCTCCTTTTCCATGGGCGAGGAAATCCTCTTTATAAGCCGGAGCTCTCCAAAAGAGAGCCTGAAGAACTTCTTCACGCCGTTGCAGTTCTGCCGGCGTTGCGGTGACCTTGTCTCCCAAAGAGCAACTGAATGCAGCAGCGTTAGCCGCCCTCCACTTTTTGCCTCTAGATCCATTTACCCAGTAATCTTCAATGCTCTTGGATGTGATCCAGAATGGCTCAATCAACGTAAAGTAGTGACTTTTTTCTCCGTCTTCAATAGATACTGGATATGTAGTGTAGAATTCCACTCGTTTTTTAATTTCGGCTGCACTTGCCTTGAATTCACTTTTGAATCCAATATACTCCACTGCAACATATGCATTTGCTGCGCTGACCATACAACCCGACTCTCCATTGGCATAAAAATCCGCTCGCACTTCGGGTGACTTCCACCAATTAGCTTCCATGTTTTTCCTCCATGAATCTTCAGGTAGCCCGCTAAGAATTTGTGCACGAAGTAGTAGATTTTTTTCGTCTACTCGCTCCCCTTTTCCCCGTGGCTGGCTCATTGTCCACAATTTCCCCCTTATCCCTTTTTGTTGGAATTCCTGGAGGCATTCCAGACTCCTCCAGTAATTGGAAGCATAGAATGTCTTACGATAATTTTGCTCCTCTTTTGAACAAATATCTTTCTCTCCCAGGCCACAGGTGCCACTTGCAGAGTTGCTAGCTTTCCACCTCGTTCCACTTTCACCATTCTGGAGGTAGTCAGAAATAATGGCAGGTTCCTGCCACCAATCAGCTGCAGCGTAGAACTCCCCAATATACTCGGTGTCCACGTTATACTCTACACAACCACTGTCAAAATAGAGCATTCTTAAAGCGCCTTCCATCCAAGAAGAAGAACGAGTACATTTCAAGGCGCGTGCGTCATTGAAAGACGCCGCACTTATATATATACTTTTATCACCTTGGTAAGCGTAATCGGTCAAACCATTCCGGGTCCGCCACCAACCAGTTTGATAATAGTGATTCCGCAAACCCCGTTCTTCGGGCGAAGCAAAAAGACCTGCAACTGGGGCCCATGCATCCAATTCTGTCAAACTTTGGTATCCAAGAACGGCAGAAGATAACAGAGCTGACTGAAAGTAGTTTCCGCGCTCTTTACGTTCCTCCACAGAGCACTTGCCAGTACCTTCAGGGGTTGCAGCAGACCACTTGATACCTTTAGCACAGTAGTCCGTCCAGTATTCCTTCTGACGCCACCAATACTTTAGGTAGTACTTTTCCCGCACAGCCAATTCATTGGCGGAAGCTTGGTCTATGCCCCCTTTTCCCAGACTTGCTATCAAGCAATTTGAAGCCATCCATTGTTTTCCATCAGCACCATTTTTCCAATAATCTGAGATGGCATCCGGTTCTTTCCAAAAATCTGCAGGATATGCGTGATTGGCCAATACCCATTGAGTGAAAAAACATGGACTTTTCCACCAATCGTGATCTTTCGCCGCGGATGGGTGACAGGACTTCCAAAGAGTACCTTTCTCTTCAAATGCAATATAGTCTCTCACATATTTGCTCTGCTTCCAGAAATTCTTGGTGTAGTACTCTACACGTCTTTTCAATTCAGAAGTGGAGTCTCGGTTCTTCCCATCCCCTTTCAATGCTGCATTACGCCAGGCTGCTGTCCACAGAAGACCATTGTCTCCATTATCCACCCAATCCTTTATGTAATTGGGACCTTTCCACCATTCAGTTTCACGGCAATCATGATACCATTCCTCCCGGCTGTGGAGGACAACAGCGTCAGATATATTGGCTGACCCTGGCTCAGTCTCACGCCAAAGTTTTCCTGTAGGACCATTTTTCTCATAGTCTTCTATGTACCTTTCAGCTTTCCACCAGTAAATTTTCAGCCATGATTCTCTCCTGGAAAGCTCACTTTCAGTGGCAAAATCCTTACGCCCAGAAACAGCCGATTCCTCGTCGGCAGCCTTCCAAAGTACACCACCTCTTTCAAAATCAGCTCGAATTTCAGGTTGCTTCCACCACTCTTGATCAGCGGCGGCTGCACCGGCAAAATGCAGCGCAGAGCATTCAGTTGGATTGTCTTTCACACAGTTAACGTAGATCTCTGACTTCCACCAATCGCCGTTTTTGTAAAAATCGTCCCGCTCATATTTCTCTTCCACTGTACAATGATCTTTACTGCCCTCAACCAATGCACACCAGGTCTTTACAATACCTTTAGGCCCATTTACTTTGTACCACTGGACCCGATACTCAAGTTCCGCCTTCGGAGCCTTACGACGGTTACCACGGCGATTGTACCCAGTCAATTCATCCGCAGCCGTCCACATGCAGCCATCCTCACCGTTCTCCAACCAATCCACAATATAAGGCTCCTCCTTCCACCATTCAGCTTTACGAGAAGCTAACCAATTACGACGGTGGGAATCCGCTTTCCACCAGCACTGCACGCGATACCACTCTTCCCGAACTTGAATCTCCGGTTCTGGTGCTCGTAGAATCCCACCCTCAACAACACTGGTCCATCGCGACCCTTTAACACCATTTTTTTCGTAGTCACGACGGTATTCATCACGCTTCCACCATTCGGTATCTTGAACACTATTTGAGTTATCAAAGGTTGATTGTTTTGACGTAAAACGGTCAAAGGCTCCTATAATGTCACTAACTTCCCCCGGACTCATCCTTTGAATTACATTCGAGTCATCCATTGCCGCTTGTTTTGTTTTTTCTTCTAAAGCGCGTCTCTGACACTCTTCACGTCGACGTCGGCGCTCAGCAATATTTGAAGTTCGCTTCGCCTCACGTTCTTGTTGAGCCTTTTCCAGTGATTTCATCAATTCGATATTTTTCTTCTCAATTTCTTTATAGTATGCGATAGGATCCCGACCACCTTCTGCCAACACCTTCTTACGACGCTTTTCGTTCACTTCCGCAGGATCGATACCCTTCATTTTTAGGTGCTCCTTCTTAAGCCAAGTCATTATCCTCTCAGGGTCTTCTTCCAATGCCAACATGTCATAAACCTTAGCAAGCTGCCGTACCTTGATCCTTGCAAACATATCAAGTTCCTCATCGGTTATGTTCCGTTGTATCTGCTGCAAGAGTCGCTGAATCGGTTCGCCCAGGTCTGCCAGGGATCGACCAACTGATTCAAAAGCCATTTTATGTCTTTTTGGTATCTCCTTGTTGTCCCTTACCTCACTTTTTTTGTTTCGGTTTTTCTTTTCTTGCGATTGTCGATAATAAAAAAAAATACTAGCAATCTCAGACGCGCAAAACTGAACTAACAATTCTTGTGATTGCGATACTAGATTCTTGTTTATGATAAGAACCTACTAAAAGAATTTGCCCCAACAACAACAAATATACTACTAGAAATTCGTCTCACAGAAAGGCAAGCAACTATAAAGGGAAAGGAACAACCAACAAATAAACCATGAAACAGAATGAATTGGAAACACAAACTACTGAAAGGCAGGAACATGCCAAGTTCAACATTCACCATTCAAACCTTAATATCTCAGAGATAAATACATACATCTGACGGACACCATGACGAGCAACACATGATCGATACGAAGTCACTTCACCAGCTCCTTGCAACAAACCCTATCCCACCAAAACATAACGCAACTCCACCCTCTGCTAATAACAACAGGCAAAACAGAATACTAGCTCTGAACAGAGAGGCAAATAAGCTCAACAAATGACCTAATAAAGGCTTTGTGCATCGAACGGTGAGAAACCCAAAAAAAAACGCAGGAGAAGGAAGCTGCCCTAAACCCCTATGATTAACACCAATGGCATAGCGCCTACAACTGGGCAATCCGGCACATTGGGCGCAACTCTGGCGGCCACTACGGTGTCAGAAGAGATCAATAAGTAAATGCATATATATATATATATCTTAAGCAGGCGGAAAGGTGACAAGAAAAAAAATCAGCAACTCACCAACAACGTAATGCGGCGGTTGGCGNACTAGCTCTGAACAGAGAGGCAAATAAGCTCAACAAATGACCTAATAAAGGCTTTGTGCATCGAACGGTGAGAAACCCAAAAAAAAATTGCAGGAGAAGGAAGCTGCCCTAAACCCCTATAATTAACACCAATGGCAAAGCGCCTACAACCGGGCAATCCGGCGCATGGGGCGCAACTCTGGCGGCCACTACGGTGTCAGAAGAGATCAATAAGTAAATGCATATATATATATATATATCTTAAGCAGGCGGAAAGGTGACAAGAAAAAAAATCAGCAACTCACCAACAACGTAATGCGGCGGTTGGCGCGCGCGTCGGCACGGAATAAAAAGGTTTCAAAAAGGGCAAGCCACCGACCACGGAGAGGCCTTCAAAGCCGTTGAAGGCCCGGCGGCGCCCTTTGCTTCCTCCATTCGTTTCTTTTCTTGGCTTTCTTCCACCCACCCTCCGCGAACAAGGCAGGGCCCCGGGAGCGGGGGCCGCCCAAACTTTGACAGCCTGCCACAGGAAAGGCCTGGTGTCTCGCGGCGTTGCGGGGGTGGTGGGGGTGGGGTGCCTTTCTCCTGGCCGTGGTTTTGACCGTGGCCCGCGGCTTTTCGGGTGCCCGCAAGGCTCCGCTCTCTCCGCCCCGCGCGGGGTCGGGTTAAAAATACTTTTGGCACTGGGGTTTGGCAACTGGAAAGTGCTTTAAATGTGGCCGTGTTGGGATTATCTTGTTTGGGGGTGAAGGTTTTTTTGGAAGAAAAAAACAATGCGGATCAAAGGAAAAGCAACAATACGGCACGCAAACCGTATTTGTTTGGCTTCCGGATGTAGTCTACTCGCTGCTCCTAATGTAGAAGCAATTTGTGGGCTAAAGGGATGGATGGATGTCAACCAAAAACAAAAAAACTGGATGCACATTGCTAGCTGCGGAT